ACAATGGTGATAGGTACAATGGTGATAGGTACAATGGTGATAGGTACAATGGTGATAGGTACAATGGTGATAGGTACGATGGTGATAGGTACGATGGTGATAGGTACAATGGTGATAGGTACGATGGTGATAGGTACAATGGTGATAGGTACAATGGTGATAGGCTCGCTGTGGCACGTAGTCTACGCTCCCCCCTGGAGGCGACCGAGGGGTCGGGGGGAGAGGGGGTTTTGGGAACACACAGAACATGTCTAATGATAGAGATACGTAGGCTATGCTTCCCTGGAGGTGACCCGGGGGGAAGGGGAGGGAGGGAGGGAGAAAGGGGGAGGGGGGACACACAGAACATGTCTTATATTAGAGATGGGCTTACAAGGGTGATAGGCTTGTTGTGGCATGTACGCTATGCTTCCCTGTAGGTGAACGGGGGAGGGGGGGACACACAGAACATGTCTTGTGTTAGAGATGGCTTACGATTGTGATAGGTATTTGGGAACAAAATGTCGTAATAAAACGAGAGATGATAATAAAATAAATCAAATTCCAATGCCATTACTTGTGTGCGTTAAATCGTGTCAGAGTCAGATTCACACAGCTTAATTAACAAAAGGTATCTCAAAGATTTATAGATCATAAGAGTCGATATGTTGCACACGTAGTTATTCCATTTCTCTAGCTAGTCATTATTTTTCGATTTCTAGTTGTTATTTTTAAAGTCCTCTTGAAACCCCCCAGACAACAGTAGAGATAGAAAAGGTACAACAAACAAGCCCGACCTAATGACTGTTTTGACCTTGAACTCACCGAGACGCTGACCTAATGACTGTATTTGACCTTGAACTTACCGAGACGCTGACCCAATGATTGTATCTGACCTTGAACTCACCGAGACGCTGACCCAATGATTGTATTTGACCTTGAACTCACCGAGACGCTGACCCAATGATTGTATTTGACCTTGAACTTACCGAGACGCTGACCTTGCCCTGCATCCTGTCCATCTCTCCCAAGATGGCCGACAGCAGAGAGGACTTGCCGGAGCCTACGGCGCCTACCACGGCTACAAAGGCGCCTTTGGGGATCTCCAGCTTGATGCTGAGGTCAGAGGGGATAAATAGAGATACAGTGATATAATATAGTCATTGTAGATAAATAGACATGTAGTGATATAATATAGTCATAGTAGATAAATAGAGATACAGTGATATATAGTCATAGTGGATAAATAGAGATACAGTGATATATAGTCATAGTAGAAAATAGACATGTAGCGATTGTAGGTGAGTATATTTCTTGACAGCACGACGGTAATTGACACAAATATATTAAGCTGACTGTACTTTTTAAAATTAACATAATCATGATATCACCTCAAAGTATCCATAAATTAAAGTCCTTCAGTCTCCGAACTCGGCAAATGTATTCAAATAAACTGGTTTTTTATCATCGCTACTGATGTATACTAATAAATTAAGACGACGTACATTAGAAGAAGAATATTTGTTGCATTAATCTCAATAACACAAAAGCGCTAACTCGCTAACATCTTCAATTGTCAATTTTACAAATTATGACATTAAGTCAACATCAGCATTAATTAAAGATCTCAAATTTGGAAACAGTCCCCAAAACTGGAAGGCCGAAGAACCCTTACCCACTGAGCCGGAAGGAAGAATCAGGATTCCAGGTAAACGTTCCCTTCTCAATCCTCACCGCTGTGTCTGTGAATAAGAAATCAAATTCGCTTCTTGTTCAGTTTAATCATGTAGTATATTTTGTCCACCTTTCAGTACAATTCGTTTGCGAGAGAGTTATCATCATCATCATCATCATCATCATCATCATCATCATCATCATCATCATCATCATCATCATCATCATCATCATCATCATCATCATCATCA